TATATATATATTATAATAATATAATAATACAATATATAATATAATATAGTCCGAACAGTTCAATTTAACATTACCGATCCAATATTTCATATGCAACAATGTAAAAACACACCAACTTTAAAAAAGGAGATATAAACTATATTGAGCTTGCAACTAGGTGATCTTCCGTGCCTGAAGTTAATCTCTAATAATACCGTAACTTAATTTAGAAGGCGCGGTAGAGAAGCCTGCATAGCCCCAGACAATACGTAAACTGCCCGGGTTGTCCGTCGCTACCCAGACGTTTGAAATACATAGGCCTACAGAGAATACAAACTCAACGACCTCATCTTGGTCAAGGATATTATATATTATAAGCACGTTTGCGCTGAGCCGGCTAATATGTACACTAACTTTTTAAACTAATCATTAATTAGAAACAAAGTGTCATCGGTAAATGTATTTTTATATACGTAAGGAGATAGGCCTACATTTCTAAACCGTTTTGTGGCAGTTTTTTATGTGCATAATAATTGGTAAACGGTAAACATGGAATGTGTTACGGTGAAAAAAAAAACCAATTCAAACAGTGATTTGAACCTAGGCCTTTTTCATTTCATTTCATTCTTTATTTGGTCTTCTGATGTATTATCAGGAGCCTTTACAAACTAATGCATTGGGGCTTGGGAATTCGAATGCAATTAAAGGTACTTCACAATTTTTTATGCGGTACAACACTAGTACTCAACTCACAAACGTGGCACCACCTTAAGGGAATAGGTCTAATGTCCCCGTCTCTTATGGTAATCTTTGAGCATTATGCAGATTGACATTTCTGCAGAATTCTAAATCTGGAAATGGCTTGAAACCGAAGTGCTTCGAAGTCTTGCCAAATTTCCGGATACTAAATAAATATAAAAAATGTGCTAATATAATACGTGTGTATGTGGATTTACAATCTCTATTACGTATTACAACATGCCTGTAAGAGGCTATTGGGATTTTTTTTATAGGCTGTAAAGAGATACCGGTGTACCACACCCATTTCTATTACAGTCTACAACTTTAATTTCATCCAAGAAGAATCTTTAAACTTTTTGTTTTAATTTACGAAAGCTTTTCGTCTTGATTATTGTTGACATGGTGCCTTTTAATCTAAAATTTAATTTAAAAGGTTTTAAGGAATGGCCTGTTGGTCCATGGCAATCTGTGCGTTGATCGGCATCTCAACAGAAAAAAAAATTGAAAACAGCTTAAAAAATATGAATTTCAACGATCAAAGTGCCCAGAGGTCTTACCAAATTTCCGGCGGTTGCAATTTTTTTTTAGAGTAAAAAAAAAGTTTAATATGATACTGCGTGTGTATGAGGATTGTAAATAATCTTTTCAGATTAAATTAAGCCTAACGGAATTGAAAACCGTACGTCACTCCGGAGTATAGGTAGCCTGCACATGTTGGGATATTATACAAAAATAGGCATACAAATTCTGTATCATGGAGTGTATTAACCGAGCGTGTCTTTAAAGATGTATTGTCCCATGCTAAATACCAAAAAAATCATAAAAATATTTTTTGAAAATAACTTGCCCATTTTGAAGTAACATAAAAGTTATCAACTTGAACATAGAAATTAGTGTATTTAAAAAAAATGTCTACCCATCAGTTTGCAGCGAAAAATGATAGAAACACTTCCAGTCACTGGAAGTATTATTTTTATTATAATGTTTTGGTTTAAAAATCAGGGTACACATTTTTTTTTTAATTCAATAATTTTTATGCACAAGTTAATAATTTGTACCGGTATGCTATTGCTATATGAGTTTATTTCAAAATTATTTTTTATGATTTTTTGACATTAGCATACATCTTTAAATTCTTTTTGTTTCTTTGATATTTATGCACACGCTATCTTTGAGATGGGCTTCTCTTCGAGGTTATTTTTGCAAACTAAAGAGGAGACATCTTCTCAATATTAAACCCATTGGGCTTCTATTTCAGGTTTTACGGTCATTTTTACAGGGCGGCTCTCTACAATGATAGGCCTACCTGAAATTTGAGTGACAATAATTAATAAAAATTAACTAAGTTTATCAACGACTAAAATATAATACATAATACACGTATTAGCAAAACTTATAGCAGCTTTTTTTTAGAACCGTCATATTTTTTTAAATTACATTATGCAAATGTATCTACACGTTATATTAATAACGTGTCTAATTTTATTATATTTTTATGAATTTATTTATTCATTTTTTTTGTATTCATTCATATATATTATTCATGTCTACTTTTTTGTAGTTTTAACGTGGTGATTTATTGTACGATGTTATATTTTATTTATTAGAGGGCCCTGAACATCAGCCTTCCTTCGGGGAGCCTCTTTAAATATTTTTTTAAATAAAAATAAAAAATAAATAAAGTTAAAGTAGATCAATGATTCAATTAAATTCTGTTTATTAACTCATCAAAATACATATTAATAAAATTAACATCTCATGTTCACTTTGGATATGAGGGATTAAAAACAATTAGATGTCAGCTAGGGCGGAGCCACTTTATGAAGTACGGAGATTAATTTGTTTTGAATTATTGTCAAATGGCACGTGATGAATCCTATGGGATATTGTACATGAATCAGTTATAATATTTCGAAGGTCATCGCACATCACATTGAATTAAGATATCATTGAACTACAGCGGGCGCTCTACAATCTACATTAAAAAAAAGAACATCTAGGTGATGAAAGGAAATTCGAACATTTATTAATTAATAACGATGTAACAGCCTAATACATGATCGAATTCCTAGTATAATTATATTAATATTGAATAACTATTCTTCCAAGAACATTAACGGCTTGCATTTGGCGAATGAAAAAATGCCATTCCGTGAAATATTATTACTATTATCATTGTTGTTTTTTTTTTTGTAGAAAAATTGCAAGTCACAAAAAGGTTCTGTTTTCCGGAAGAGAAAAATATAAATAAGAGAATACACAGATATTATAGGGAAGTGGAGGTTTTAAAATCAGAATTAGCAAAATACAGGACAAACGAAACCAGTGACTAATTAATATAAAACCATTGTCCAGCATAAATTTGTGTTTTTGATACTTTGCGACATTCTTCTTTAAGAGATCATTATCTTACATTAAAAATGGATATGATTTAGGAAATTCTTATTATATATTAGATCATCACAATTACCGATGAACACCAGATACAGAGGAAATCGAATCTCTGAATATTCTTATATAATTATTTACAGAAGGAAACACATTATACAGAATGTGGATATAAACAATTAAGAAAGCAGGAACGATGACTTTGTGTTTAAATTTGAAAGTTTATTGTGCAATCAATCAACATGAATTAGTTATTTTTATTTTGTTTTTACATGCATGTACATTTAAAATGTGAAATTCGAATATTATTATAATATATAACTAATATTTCAAAACGATTTAATAAAATTAAGCTGCGACAGAGTGGTCATGTCTTCTTCCTAGATCGATCAATCACTACATTCAATTGAAATCCTAATAAAAAGTGCCATGAACCGAGGATGCATAAGCTAATAAGGTGGCCCAGAAACTAAACCTAAAACTACAGTAAACTACTACCTATTTTTATGTATTTTGTATATAAATTTGAATTCTCTTATATGTATTAATATATTTATATTTGTAACTGTTTTTAACTATAAATTTTTTATATTCAGTACTGTGATTTTAAAAGCTTGCCAGTTTTCGAATGCATTTCCTTCTTTTATTTTGGACAATAAATTACTTCAGTATTCAACTAGACTTATGAGGACTTTCAGATGATTTTTTTTTCAGTTTTTGTTTTAATGATAAGACAGGAGCTATATTTCCTGAGTTGGCTCCTTCCATATCACCTTCCTCAATAAAAGCATACGCTACCAACAATGCTACTACCGCCACCATAAGCATCCTCATCAACCATGGTACCGTCATAACCATCATTAAGGCCATCATAACCACATTAATTACCACAGGCATCAACATATAGTCATAACCATCTCCACCATCATCATCGTCAAGGCCGTTGACACCGCCGTCATCATCATCTGCATCATCATAAGATAACCACCATCCACATTTGTATCAGTACAACTGTACAAATTGTACTCAATTTAATCAATATTAAAATCCAAACATATTGTTCAACACTCTGCTACTTACTGGCAGTACCACCACTACTACCACCACCACCACCACCGCTGCCACCACCATAGTCATCACCAACACCATTCACCACCATTGGTACCATAATCACCACCATAACCATGAAGTACCACAGGCATCATCATATCGTTGTCACCCCATCCACCATCATCACCATCTTCGTCGCCCTTGCCGTCATCATCATCTTCATCATCATTGTCATCATCATAAGACAACCACCATTCACAACCACCATCCATCAATACAACATGTACTATTCTTAATCAACAGTAAATCTAAAACATTTCAATATCAAAATCAAAACATCTTTAGTGTTCAAAACAACAGAATATCCTTTAATCTGCTTTCCATATTTACATACACATCAATTGCATAGATCAGATCAATCACATCTTTCTACAATAACATTTATACTTTATTTATTTGTTTGATTTATAGAGCACATATACAAAGTATTTACTTGTATTTCTGTTTCTATTTTTCGAAAATATATTTAGTGCCAAATTTTCTCATACTCATTTTCATCCAACAGCAAGTAATTTAAGGCCTGTTAATACACTCCATTATACAGATTGATGTTACAGTGGCCTTATTTATTGTTTTATAGTAGTAATTCCCAAAATTTACAGCATTCATTTTATAAAGAAATCCCCTTCTTTACTGCAAAAATAGCTTCGAAAAGAAACCAATTTAAAAAAATGCCCATCCAAAGTTCTCAAAAACACAAGAAGCCCAGGGCTTCAATTTGAGGTTTTACAGTATATTGATTTACTCATGCAATGCACATTTCCTAGGTGTGTCTCCACCCATTAAATAAATAAATGGGTATTTGATAGTGGTGACATTGAATGTATAGTCTGTGCGTAATGCATTACAGCTAGGTATACTCCTCAGGGATTGGAAAAGGTTGCAATTTTTGCCAATTTGTCAAATTATAGATCCAATGACCAGAAGTAATAATAACATCACTTGGCAAAATGCAAGTCCTAAAATAATAATATTATTAATATTATTATAACACAGTGCCTCCAGCCTAATGATAATTTCACGAAATAAAAAAGTTCCCTCTTTATTTTCTTTCGGCTGTGATTGCAAACTCAAAAATTAATTGTATTCCATTCTATATACAAAATTAAAATTTTCACCAAGCTAGGTAACCACAAGGATGTAAAAGTGCAAGGTGTGCATTTAAAAATGATGTAAAAGGAAAAAGAAACATAACTGGAAAGTACAGTAAAACTTAAAGATTGTTATACCTTATCCTATACATTACTACCATTGAAAAACAAGGAAAAAGATCACCCCACTCCTCAAAAAAATCTTCACTACATTAACTTGCATTTCAGCCCTTCAGCTATAATATGGGGGTGGGGAGGCAGCAATATATTTGAATGAGGGATCCAAGGATCACATGAACATACAGGACTACCATTTAAATTTTTTTTTAAAGGGACCTCTTAGCCTGGCTGAACATTCCCCCAAATCTAATCATTTTACCACACTTGGAAAATAACCAAAGTCACACTCTTTCGCTGAGTGTTACTGTGGTAACTGCACATTGTACTCCTCATCTGTCTCAATACCAATCTCCTCCTGAAAAAAAAAACATTGCAATTAAAAAAAAAAACCTTCTTAATATGAGGTAAAGGTAGTCTTGTATTCCCACTGAATGCAAGGGAAATGTTTAATTTCTGTTCCTGAATAGTGCACGTTGGTTTAATGTTCTTGTCTTTAACCAGACAATCAAATTTTAGAAACAGAATGTGAAAAATGAGTAAATACTATTAAATTAATGTATTGTACTGGGTGAGTCCATCTAGGGGCTTCAATGGTATCGATTGGAAGGGCTCAGTCATTTAGGTTTATAAATGTCTAATCAAAAAAAAAAAAAAAAAAGATCTCATTCAATGGCTGTGTATATGTCAAACATTCTCATGGTCAATGACAGCCAAGTGTCTTCTAGTGGAACAAGTAACAAGTCCTCCAATATCAATGACATTGTTTTGTCATATTCTACCCTAGTGGCCCTGGGTTTCCTTTTAAGCCACGGAACTCAACCCACCAGTCTCCCTTTCTCGTCAGTAACTGGGAGAATGAGTGGAAGGAAAGATATTATTCTGTGTATGACATATAAATTAATCTTACATCCTCTTGACACACAGGTATAAGTGAAATAATAACAACAACAACTGTTGAAGTGTACTTTACAATGTATCACCTGAATGATGAAAACTCTATTACAGATAGATTTGACGTTGTTTTTAGAACTACATGGTACACATGAACTTGGCAACTGGTTCAGAGGGCGGGACAAATCAAACATGACACCCCGATTATAAGAAAAAACTCAACACTGACACCTGGTTGAAAATGTTAGTGCAGCTGAATTTGGCAGCTATGTTAATTAGACTATAGTATGCTAAACTTGACCTTTAAGTAATAGATCTAATTAATTAACCCTGACACCTGTATTATAAAGTGAGACTATATCTGACACCTGGATCAGTATTACTGCGCAGTGGAATTTGACAGTCATGCTAATTAGGTAAACTATATTACTCTGAACTTGACATTCAGTGTAGAGGTCAAGTGTTGTTAAGTTGATACCTGGGTTTGAGGGCAGGACTAGCTAGCCTTGACACCTGTAATTGCTAAACATCATGTGTAGTTAAAATTGACAACTGTATCTCAACAAGTCTAAACTTCAAACTTCCAGAAGTTTTTATTAAAATTGACTGCCAAATTAGGCGCCTGAAGTTGTTACAACTTAAAAACAATATTTCAGCAGAATATCTAGTATAACAGTCTAGTATTCAGGACCATAGCCAGGCCTGGTATACAACAAAACTATGCAGCAGTATACCAAATACTTACATATAAAGTCTTCTTAGTTTTTGGATAGCCTTCTAGGATGGCGTCAAGAATATCTTTTGTCTAAAACAGATTAAAAAAATTATAAGGTGAGATATTGAGGAAATAGTCTAATATAAACTCTTTCTCAATTAAAATCTCCTCTTAAAACTCATCTTCTTTCATGAACGAGAGTGCTATATAAATGTTAAAATATCATTATTTGAGTTGAACAAATATATCGCTTGATTTTTCACTCTCATAATGAAGGAGAATATGTATTAAATGACCTAACGATTGAATATACCAATCCACAAGAATAATGTTGAATATTTCGTCGTATCAACGACACATCAGCAACTGAGACAGAAATTAGGCAGGCCAGGTCTTATATACTGTGCTAATAAGCTGACAGGTGTTGGAAAGTATTGAAAAAAAAAAAAAAATATATAAAAAAAAATTTTTTTTAAATTAGGTAATAAGGAAAGTGTCACTAGGCTCATTCTTACGGTTTATAGAGGGCCTAATGCGATTGATACATTGTGCTTCCAACACACGAAGGCGCAATTCATCTTCAGGCGCTCTTCTGACGATGGAAACCAAGATATCGGGGTTTTTCACGGCAGGATGAGATTCACCAAAGTGCGCGCTGAGTGCAGAGGTGGAGCTGTGTTTACGAGCCGACGCGAGATGTTCAATCACCCTAATAGTGGAACCAACATATTCTTGATGACAAATCCGGCAGTGAATCTTATAAACCACGTAAGAAGATGAGCAGATGTTGTTTTTTAAAGGACATCGGGCTAGGATACATCCAAGATCAGGCTTACGAGCTTTAGTGAATTGAGAAATGGCGTATGGACGGGGATTAACCACTCTAGCATTGATGTTATTTCGCTTAAGGGCTAACCGTATCTGGGTATTAAGTTGATCACTGACAAAGGGAATTTTAAGGGTGAAGTTAAAGTCTGTAAAAGCCCGAGGTTTATTCGCAGTGTGAGCGGGAGGGTTCAACCAGTGGCGGGGATATCCATTGTTCATAAGTTTATGGTTTAAAATCCCAATCCGTTCGTCCACAAATTCTGCTGTACATAATTTACCAATTCTTTTGTATTCATTAATAACCACTGCTTTTTTAATAGAAAGGGAATGGTGCGATTTGTAATGCAAAATTTTTTTTTTTTTCTCAATACTTTCCAACACCTGTCAGCTTATTAGCACAGTATATAAGACCTGGCCTGCCTAATTCCTGTCTCAGTTGCTGATGTGTCGTTGATACGACGAAATATACAACATTATTCTTGTGGATTGGTATATTCACTCTTTAGGTCATTTAATACGCAATATCATTATTATTTATTATACTGTAGATATGGTATAAGGTTAATCTGGTGGTAGCCACTGTGTGTGCGCTGAACAGTGGAGATCTTGTGTTTCAGCTGGAGGGCTGAAATACAAGTTACAATAGTGCACAGTCTTTGGGATGAGACGCTTAAGCCACTTATGGCCCATGCGCACGTTAAAGAACGCAGTACAGTCTTCGGAAAGAGTAGGGGAGTCTCCCCGTGTACTGCCCAATCACCACCAAAAGGACCCCACTGGCAAATAAGTCTTCTTCCAGACTTTCGTGGGCTATCCTTGGTGTTTACACCAAATAAATTCAACCTAATAATAAATAAATCAAACACATTGGCCATACAGATGTGGTGAGGTCATGAAGATGAGGTGGGGCAATGGCAGTGCCAGCTAGGTTGTAGGGGGCACAGGATCCCAGTCATGGAATCATGGATCCTCTTTCTTCGCAAAAGTCACTAATTTTGTCCGGGAACACTGCTTTAAAAATGCATTTTAAAATAATTATTATATTACCATCAATAATGTCATTACTTTGTTATAACTATATTACTATCTATTACTTCATTATTTTATTATTACAATTATTATTACCAGTTATCTTCTTTATTTTGTAATGATACATATATCAACCTTCTTTTTGTTCATTATTAGGCCAAATAAAAAAAATTATTGTGTTGGTCACGCCCGACCGACCCAAAATATACAAAATTGAGTTTCAGCATTTTATTTATTTTTTTTTTTTGGACTACAATGAAAATTGTTTTTTAATGAGCTAAAAAGGCTGGAATAAGACTATCTTGGTAGATAGTAGAGGTAATGCGACAGTGTTATGCAATTGTTTTGCTTTTAAATACAGATTTTAAAATGGTTTTTAAGAATTTTTGTGTATTTTCTAATTTTTAGGCATAAATATATTTGTGGGGAAAAAAATTAAAAACATTTTTCCAAATGACCTACCCATTTTTTGGATTTTCCCGTGGTCAACACAAGAACTTTTTTTTGGCCTTATATAACATTATTTTTATTAACTTAATTATTTATTACATTACTATAACTTTTATTACTTTTTTATAAGCATCAGCTTTTACTTTCCTATATAATAAAAATAATATATATGATCAATTTTTTTAAAAAGAAGGCATACGTTCAGCAACAAACTTAACCTAAATTGATCGTGAGAATAAAATATTAATGAGATTTATAAATTATGAAGGTTTAGTAAGGCGAAGGATGTTTAGAAGGCTGGGAAAACCAGATTACTGATTTCCGCGGCAGACTCCATACTTGAATCAAATATATCCCACAAGGCAACATGTCTCACAATACGTTCAAGGTGAAGATAATTGTAGTATTAACTTTAATTAGCAACAGAGTCATCAAGCTATACAATAGTATATGGCATCATTATCATCAAGGGAATTCACTCAACTCTTTCAGTTATTCTTCGTTTATATGAAATTCATAAAGAATTATAAACTAGAAGTGACAATTTGTATAAACAACGAAAATCAGGAACAGAAAGCCATTTTGTATAAATTTAGCTCACATTTTGAACTCAAAAGTTAAAATATAAACACTGTATAAATTGTGTTTGTATATGACAATTGTGCTTTCCAAAACTTTCTACAATTGCAATGATTTTCATTTAATTATTACTTTTGAAGGCTGTTTCTGTAGTTGGTACTGGGGCACCTCAAGGTTGCGTATTATCTTTTTTAACTTTATACTAACGATTTTATTTCGGACACTCATGTCTGCTGCCACTGGGTATGCCAGGACACCACTATAACTGGTTTTATTAATGACAATGAGATTATTGATAAGGAATATCTTAGTAACTTTGGGTCTTGGTGTATTGATAACTATTTTAATTTTAAGGAGATTATACTTGGCTTACACTCTGTAACAAACACAAGATTTTTAAAATACTGAAAACTGCAAAAAGAATTATCAAAACTGACTTAGATGGTATTGATAATATGTATAGCAAGACAGTATTAATATGTAAATTAGATCGATCATTAATGATGCTTCACATCCTTTAAACTCATATTATTTAAAAAACAACACAGGCAAATCTGACCTTTGAAATGTAAAACATTTAGATGTAGCAACTCATTTCTACATGGCTCTACTTTTGTATTTATAACAACTTTAGTAGATAGTCATCATATATGCCTATCTCTATGTTTATATCAAACCTACAATATTTTTGCGATTTTAGATTAAGTGACAATAAGCAATTTCAGGTTATTCTGTATACAATATATATTCTTTTTAAATGTTCTGGTATAAATATATATATATATATATATATTAGTATCAGAGTTTTTTATGTTCTATTGTTAAAATTAATGTTATTATTACATATTTTATTAATTCATTGTACTGTATTACCACCTGAACACAAATTTCGACTGTATCTCGTATTGTTGACAATAAATTTTCCTTGATTTTTCTACATGCAATTAAAATTTGATGTTTGTCTTGTTTTTACATATCATAAAAACTGATTTTAATGTTTGTATTTTTTCTATTTGTAGGAGATTTTTCAGTAGACCCTGGAATAAAAATGTTCATACACACAAGGAATATCAAACATTTCAATAACTCTTCAGGTGACAAATTTGGATAATTTGTTATTTACATTTTGCCAAGTTCTATATAATTTATGTAACTAAATTTGAAGATGCCATTATTGCATTGTATGTTTATATTATTTGAATTTATCACAAACTACTACCGAACACTAACTATTCGGGTGACACATTTAGATATAAATTTGTTACCTTCATTTTGCCGAATTCTGTATAATTTATGTATCTATGTAAATTTGAAGATGCCATTATTGCATTCTATGTTGAAATTATTAGAATTTTCTTTTCTTTCTATGATCAGTATAAAGTATTATCGTACCCAATCTTGCATTTTTTTGTTGCGGTAATTTGATCCATAAAAAGAACTTGACTAATTACCACGATTTTTAGATAATAACCAGAATATCCAAATAAATTTCTCTATTAATTAACTTCAGTGAATCATAAATTATAAAATAAACAAAAACTTTGTCCAGATATCAACACTGTTTGTCAAAATGCCAAAAGTTTCCTTTTACTGATTTACAGATTTTTTTTTTGTATATCTAGTATACAGTAATTCAGTATTTCCTTTTTCATAAGCATGAGAACATTACTTGCCACTTCAGTTTATAAAAAAAAGTGTCTTTTTTATTCATGTACAATTCTTTTTTATTATGTTCTATATTCCTGGCTGAATAAAGAATTAATGAATGAATTAGTTTTGTTCAGAATCAGTGATGTAATGTAGTTAGATTTTGCTTTATATTGAAGTCTCAAAGCGCTTGAGGCATGGACCCGCATGTACAGACTGCCTTCTCCCCTAATGTTCACTTTGTGTCTGAGCTACCCATAAACTGGTACCAGCTACTTTCACCTGTACATAACAGGGGCTGCATGGACCAGTAAACAGGGGTCACCCTCTACTTGTCTTGAAAGATTTACTGGGTACTTTAAAGCGTACATGAGCAAATTGTGTACACTGGACCTATCGTTCCTTATCTGGGAAGGCTTATTGCTCCCCCATCAAAACCATATACAAGTGTGCAGCTTGAACCATACTGTACAGAGCAAAATGACTCTCAGAATGACAGGATTGAATTAGGTTTGCATTTAAGAAGAAATAATTATTAAATGCTTAAAAGTTAAGTTTATTATATAATCATAAATATATATATATTTCATTTAATATTTATACTCTAATTGCATTAGTTTCCATATATTCAGGTCATTTTGTAAATTCACATTCATCCTGCTATCCTGTTAAAATATAAAATTCCTGAGCTTTAAATTTTGTGATTGTCTGTAATGCAGTTCATAACCAAAAGTCAAATTCTCCATACCAAGCATTTGTACATCAGAGACAGCGAGGTGGACTCTTACCTCTACTAGATGGAGATGACCTACATGACATTGGTGAGATAGAAAGCACATCAGAGAAAAAGATAAAGGATGGAGAGGGTTACCCATCATAGAATAACTAAAATAAGGTAACATGGTAAGCAGTAAAAGAGCAAAATATTCTATTTAGTTCTGATCATTCTTTCTATGTCTTACCATTATCTGTAGGCCATACCATTAAATACAAAAATACCTACCATTAATTGTGGGTTGTACCATGGTTACGATATGGTTGTTTTAAACCATAACAATATTTTTTGGGTATAGGTGAAGAATGTAGGGGAATGAGCTATCAACCCATCGTAATTAGCCTCGGCATTGTGTGGTAGGGTAGCCTACCCAGTAGTGAACCGGGTACCCATTTATACTCTTGGGAGGAGAGAGACAAATGTTGGTAAAGTGCCTTGTCCAAGAACGCAAGAGAAATGCACAGCGATGGTTTGAAAACCCAACCTCAGTGGCGTATCTAGGGGAGGGCGCGGGGGCGCACACCCCCAAAAATTTACTCGTGCTACCCCAGTCTCCCCCCAAAAAAATCACGGTCAAGTAGTTAAAAATCACCTAAAATCACCATATTTGGGGAATTAGCGCCCCTCAACTGATCATCGAGCACCCCCCACTTCACCTTCGCGCCTCACATCAGCCCCCACCCCCATTTCAAACTTCTACATACGCCATTGCCCAACCTCGAGGTTTAGAGATCGAAACGCAACCGCTGCGCCAACCGCTCCCACTTTTCGCTCATTTATTGATATACCATTTTTTAGACCGCACCATTCATAAGCCTGTTTATACTTCAACGATAACGATAAAAAAGATAAAAAGCAATTGTTCGTATAGAAAATAAAAGAAATAAGAGAAGTTTTTACACTAGAAAGATTTATTAACGATTTATCAGTTTTGCGATAACAAAATATTTTGACAAATCAAATCAGATGATGTCATAATCATGAAAAAACATTAAAATCGTAGTAGTAGTAACGATTTTATTGTTTTAACATGATTATGACGTCATCTGATTTGATTTGTTAAAATATTTTGTTATCGTATACACGATAAATCGTTATCGAATCATCCTAGTGTAAAAACTTCTCTTATTTCTTTTGTTTTCTATATGAACAATCGCTTTTTATCTTTTTTATCATTATCGTTGATGTATAAACAGGCCTTTAACGTCTTACCATTCTTTTCCTTTTCCTCCAGTGCTTCATATTCTTTGAATGCAAGTTATAAATTGCTTCTTTCTCCTTCTCCGTCACATGATTGCCTGCTGATTTCAGACTCTTCAGTTTATCTTCACCATGCTTTATCTATTGTAAATATAGGAATTTCTAATGCTTTGATCAATATACAAATGGCTTTCTACAAATCTGCCTTTTCACTTATTCATTAAAAATACTTAATATATTTACAGTATCTGCATTTTTTGCCTCAGAAATATTTCCTGTGTAGATTCTCAATATCCTACTAGTGAATAATTGCATTACTTTAAGGTTCACTGCATATAATTAAGTTCACCATATAAGCACATAATTGCATCTTCTGTTTGATTGATTATTAAACCAAGCACAATGAATGTAAACTTAATGTGAGCTTTCATCAATGTTAACACCATGACTTGCAATAAGTTTACATCAAAGATATTACAAACACAAGATAAAATTTTTCAGAGAAAAAAAACTCTTCTACCGAAATGCATGGTGGGAATACAAACACTAGGGCGCCGCGTATGGCTGGATGTAAAAAACTTCTGTCAACCTTACATCAACCGTAACGGTGAATACATAAACTCCTTTTGCAGAGGTAGACAAGTAGGCATAAATAAACCAAAAGAATAAATTGACAGACACATGTTATCAACACTTGTAACACTGCCAATGGAATATAATTTCTGAGTTTTCCAGACAATAAAATTATCTTGAACCTTGAGAATCGTATTACTGGACTCTGATAAGTAATAATGTTTCCATCATTAGCGGAAAGAAAAAGGGCGCCGCATACGTATAGATTTACTTAGCAACAGAAGGGTGCCATGTATGTCTGGACCAAGTATAGATAAAGTTGCATTAATAAAAAGTTAAGGGCGCCGCGCATGTCTGGAACATTTTTTGCTATGCGAGTGCTCTATCTTGTGTTTCTAGTATCTTTGGTTTACATCAATTCTGTTTGGTTTAATTACTAATCAAACAGTTGTACAATTATAAAAAGCAAAGCAGACGAAATTAATCAAATGTACTGTATTCAAGTTTAATTACTATTAAATTAACAAATCTATTCAAGTTATTGATGTTTTAACAACTGCTATATTTGATTCACAATAACTGCACTTACCTTCTGAGATAAATCAGTAATTTTAATTTTGGCATCCTCTGTGCTAATGGATGAGTTGAGGCTAGAGAGAACTGTTGAAATATTAAAAAAAAAAAAAACATGTTAATGTGGAGCTTACAGCCAGGCTCAGTTGACACAAAAATGATGTTTTACAAAAAAGTTTCGGAATGTTTAATGAGATACAAAAAAACTGGGGGAAAGAGACATAACCATCCCTTTTTCCACCTGCTCCCTCAACCCAGTTTTTAAATATTCAAAAACCCTTTCATAATTCCGTTCCAAGTTTTTCGTAAAACACCCTTTTCGTGTCAAAATTGTTTTTTCCTTCAGAGCATGGCTTTAAAAACATAAGACAAACCATTCAGCTAATTCAAACGACACACTTAAGATGCCATTCACCAACTAGCTATTAATACTACTGAAACTAGGAAAACTATAAATTCACAATTAAGGTGCCAACTATATGCAGTCATCATGCTAAAATCAAGTAATATTAAATGATGATAGGCGAGGTAATTGGCATAAATGATGTCAAGAAATGGTGACTTGGAGAAACTTCAAGTCAATTATCAGTACTAATAATGAACAAGGACGTGTTCCAAGGCCAGGTTCACTAGGAGATGTCCCATCAAGGAGCGAAGTTCAATGCTGCCTGCGGTACCGACTGCTTTCCCAGCCATGTCAGCATGGAAAGGAAAGACATGCTTTCAGTTAAGGAAATCACATTTAGCATATTATACTAGATATGTCAATGTGAAATTTTCCATTAGGAATTTGAAGTTCAAGGAAGTGTATATGAAATAAAATGGGTTTAAATCGCATTGATCCTCATCTTACCCATCACAAATGACAAGAAGATCCTAAAAGTAGTAGAAGCAACCCTATATCTATCTACATGCTTATTAGCTATGCAGTCTCCTTTCATTATGTTTTAGTTAATGTTTGTGTTTTACCATAGTTAATTTTATTATCTTATTTGATAAATTTATTGCATTTTCTCAACTGCAGACCCGTCACCAAGTATTCACTTGGTAAATTTGTGACCCAACAGAACCCATTTAAGTTTCTTTAAAAGATATTTCTGTCAGCATGGAAGAATTTTAGATTATGCTTTAGAGGCTAAAATATTTCCATGTATGCTTTGAGTGACCCTTTAATTTATTTGCCAGTTTCTAGCTGAAAAAAAAAAAAAAAAATCTTGTAATCTCGAAAGCTCCGGTGATATTATAGTGGCCCTAATGGCCGCCCATACAGAAAGATCTATTAATTAATCAGCCGAGTGATTCTAGTGGCCCTAACAGTCACCCATACAAAAAAGATCTAATAATTAATCAATCAGCAGTGTACTGTACTACTAGAGCTCCTCATCTGAGCTAAAAATTGTTTTAATAGTAGATGAAGAGGTCATCATGTTGTACACATGACTGAGCCATTGCAGTGACTACATAGGATGGATAATGGACATTTCTGCTAAGCCCTGCTCCTTTAATATTGTTGCTTAGGTCCCTCAAATGACAAGTGTTCAAAAATATACAAGCATGTGCGTTTGAAGGGGCAACATTTTTTGCTTGTTAGACACATACGCATTCCTGATCCTGTTCTAGCTACACTCAGGGAAGGCCCATGACTAGATCAAAATCTTGTGTCTACAATATTAGACTTCTTATCCTGCCATACACTCAAAAAGTTCACTTTGTACACACAGCCATTAGAGTATAATGTACACATGACCAACAAATTAAAATCCCATATGAGGGATGAGGCTTTTACTATTAGAGTTAAATGCCTTAGCCCGGGACCAGTGGCGTAACAAAGAGGCCTGATGCCACTCGTTAAGGATACTTCGAGGACTACTGCACAACCATGTGAGCTGAGTCCAGGTAGATCCCAGTTTGGTACATGACAAACCCATCGCCACCTTGCCTTGTTTTCGACGTTTTCGGTATATTTTTAAGTTTTTGACACATTTTATTTAAAAAGGACAGCTAGTTGAATAAAGGCAAAAAGGAAGTACTGTACTGGTGAATGTCCTGGGGCCAAGTCTGGTGAACATGCCTTTAGCCAGTGGGTGCTCATAGCTGTTATACCACTGGCTAGTAAAAGCATATTATATTCATGGTATATTTATTCAACACTAAAAGGAAAAAGAAATTTGACATACTGTAAAGTGAATTGTACTCTTGGCTAAATTCCTCAATATTTACAATCAATTATAACAATTAAAATTATGAAATGGACATTTAAAATTCACTAATAAAAATTAAAAACATTACAGTTGTCATTAAATTATTGCACATGTTATGATTAATATTATTATTTCAAATGTAACTAAGGAATTATTTGAAAGAATTTCTTCTATTTTAGTGGAATCACCAATAAACAACTCCCATGTTAATTTCATAAATTATATATCAAACGACGTATAATTTAACACTATTTAATTACTCTCTTCTAGACAAAATATTGAATCCAAATTTTACAGATTTTTCTTTTTGCCTTTTTCTTTTCAATTTTGTTGTAAGTCTTAAGCTATTTTGTTTTTGACGCAGTAGTTTTATATTTATGTACATATTGTTTTTCTTTTACTCATTGTTTTGTCCTAAGTTCTACGTCACTAAAAGTGTTATCACGCAAAAGACAGAAATAAAAAAATATTATTCTAGAATTAAAATCAGCAATTAAACAGGTTGTATATATAAAACAAAAACAATGGACAGATATTACATGATATACAGTTAAACTTGCCTATTAAATTTGACTTTGCCTATTAAGTCGTTCCAATTTTACATGCCAAATTTTTGTTTTCCATTATTTAACAATCTGTAAAGTCAAACAATGTTTCAATGGCATTTTGGATTCAACTTAATAGGCAAGTTCAACTGTACAACATTAATCCACAAGGTTTAACTAGTACCAAAGAAAGTTTAAATATCTTTAAAAACATGCGATCAGGGAGAAGTTAAAAATATTTTTTACATCTCCCTGCTGTAATTTTGAGTGTCATAATATTTTGTAATCTTGAACATTATAGGTGGTTACGTGGGTGCAAAGAACAAGGTATAAAAATAATTTGTATTATTATTTAATATTATTTTTATATTATTTATGTATTTGATTATTACCATCAGTAAATATTAGTTGCTATTAATAAAAATATTGATGACTTATATGACTAAAATAGATCCCACATGTACTATTCTGTAAGGCAAAACATGGACATTCTTCTTAAACCTGTGATATAGAAATTATGAAATCTATTTCTTATGACAATCAGAATGACTCAGAGTTAAGAGCTAAGCCGATGCAAGAGAACAAATCCCTGGACAAGATGACTCAAGCTTTGGTATGGAGCAGCTCAATTACGCCGTTTCAGCAGTGAACGATCGATCAAAGACCGGTTAATGTTTTCAAGAGAGCATGATAACTGTGGGTTGGAAATCATAAATGGCTGACTAGTAGATTATGCCTGAATTAGAGCAGATGCTTAATAATTCAATAAAATGACAACTGCTATTTTATTCTAACTTCATTCTTTTTAAATTCTTTTTCAAATTGATTTGTTTAATGTTCTATTTTGTTGAGTCAATATTTGTAAAAATTGAATATGTTTCTTGTCTGTATAACAATTTTCATGTCAAATGCCCCAAATTTGATTGTATGAATTTGTTTAATACATTAATCAGTTTGTTTCTCATTTATGTGGTGTTGCTAAATCTGTCTTCTTCAAGGTTTTGATGTGCGTCTGTTTTTGTGGGTTCAAGTGAGGAACAAAGAGGGTTTGAAATGAAATGATTTTAAATTGTCTATTTGTGATACACTGTGCGTGTTGAGTTAAACTAAATTTTCAATATTTAAATGTTCACTTTTCTAAGTTTTTTTTTTGGTCTATCCTCCTTTTTTATGTTTTTAATTTTTACATTTCAACTCATATATACAATAGACAAATGTACTATACTGTAACAATACAAAAATGTTCATAATTCACAACACTTATGTGTTTATAACTCAATATAAAACAAAATTAAAAGACAAATTAATTGCATTTCATAAAATAATTTTTTTTATGAGAAAAATTGTATTTTCAAGTTATTAGCTTTACAAATTGAAATTAGAATGATGTAATTATTTTTAATTAATTAACGGATGTATGAATCCGCCAAAACATCTGTGTATTATCATTGAAAATTAATAAATTATTTTGTCCCCTTAAATTAAACTTAATTAATGATTAACTGATTTTTTTAAAGGTTTTCCACATATTTTGCGCATTGGATTAATAAACTTCAAAATAAAAATTGAATTGTTAAGGGGTCATGATAGAGGCATTCCAGTCGTGGACCATTTTTAACCAATTCTACCACCACGTACAACCAGAAATATAAAACATCAAACATCAAGCCCAAAGGTACAGTAACAGCAGTGAATACAACCACAAGGCAAGAGTGGGCAGCTATGGCTGGACAAAATTTAATGCTGTATATAGACTCGATATGAAGAAGAATTGAAAATTATGACATCATTTTTTTTGCCAATTTACAGTCTATGCAAAAATAATATAGTTGCATATAATTTTTGTTGATTCAAATTGATTCAATTGACCCATAAGTTGGTTGGCAATGGGATTTTCATAGTGAAAAAGCTATATGTCAGCAAATACTTAGCTGTTGCTGATCTTAAATTAGCAATTTAAATTTAAATGAAATTTTGAGTGGCTCTCCAGATCACAACAGACAGTCACATCTTTAAAATTGAAATGCAGATCAAATTCAATATTAATAATTATAAAACAAGTAAAAAAGGTTGTAATCAGTTATAAATAATTATAAATCGTGCTGTTACTGATAATTTATGAACTATAATTAATAAACCAGTTTACCTAGTGAAGAATGATTGTTAAGCAACAACTGTCTATAAATAACCTTGACCATTGGTACTTCAAATGATTAGCAGTTGTGAGAATATGAGAGAGGTACTGTATCAATTTCTTATACACATCACTCAACTGAATTAAGCCCAACAGAAAACAGAGAAGCTTCTCACTTTGCTTTCAATCAAGCGTTGAAAAGCAAAA